TATTTGACCAATTTCCGACCGAAATCAGTCGGAAATTTAATTTTTTTTGCTGATATAAGTATTAAATATTGTTTATTTAAAACTTCTTTATTATTTATACACACAAGTATTATTAAATTTATTTAATTTCTATAAAAACATTTTTCCGACCGAATTCGGTCGAAAATATTGAATTATAATTATTTCGGTTGGTTAATTAAATATATATAATTTTTATCTTGTGTGGGAAACAAAAAATTCAAAATTTTCGATCGATTTCGGTCGAAAATTTGGAAAATTTTAATAAATAATTATTTTAATACATTATATACAAGCTTGACCAATTTCCGACCGTGTTCGGTCGGAAATTTGGTAAATTTATTAAATAATTATTTTTGTACATAATTTTTGTTGTCAGGCAATTTTTGTTGACTTTTGCGACCAAATACTCTTATTTCTGACCGATTTAGGTCGGAAAGCCTTGGACGGAAACCATCTGATTTCTAGTAGTGATATTTTATCAAAAAGAGAGTAATAGACTATGACATTAAGCTAAGTGAGAAGCTAAAAAAATCATCTCAACAATGAAATAATACTAAATGATGGAAAATGTAATGATAAAAACTATGGAGCAAAAATGTTATTTGATGACTGTATAACTCGTTTCCTTTAATTTCATATTATTTTGATTATTCGTTACATTGTACTGAAAAACAAGATGATAGTTAAAATTTTATTAAAGCAACATGCTCAAACAAAGCAGCTTATGATTTAATATGATTAATATTCTTTAATATTATCTACATATCGTACGTGTACTAATATTGGTGATCTCTAATGAGAGTGACTTATAAATATTGGACCACCAAAAAATATGGTGTGGTTTGATGAATAGAACCTTCCACAATCAATTAAAAAATATTAGTATTTGTTAGTAGTCAATCAATCCCAAGCTCTTCAACCAAGGAAGCACCTCGGACAAACCTTCTTTCAAGCTTCTGGGGTTGTAATCCAACTCTGCTTTTGCCTTCCCACAAGAGTAAGCCCACTGATGTCTAGCCGCGGAAACAATCTGTTCAAGATGATGTTTAACGAGGTGATAAGAATTAAGGTCTAATGCTAAGAAAACAATTTTTCACACTTAGAACCAAATAAGAAGGCGCTACTATCCATCTCAGAGTAACAGGTCTGAAGTAATTTAAGCCGGGGCAGTGGACAAGAACCTTAAAGAAAAAAAGACTAAGACTCAATGTTCTGTCATTGTGACATTAATGTATTAAACCAAAAGTCACCACCGTTTGATCTCAAATCTACATACAACTTAAGACATACTTACATAAAGAAAAACCAGTATAACAAATGAAAGCATGAAATGTCAATCAGTTCTTACCGGAGGACTGATTAGAGGAAGCTTTCCTGTTAATTTGGAGAAAAGAACTGATATCCAGCCGTAAGCTTCAATAATAAGTAGGGGGATTTCCAAATGAAGGCCTTCTTGTCTGAGTGATCATGGCAGCTATGTCGAAAACTTGCTTAAATGACGCATTCTCCCCAGTAAGAAGATACCCAAGATTTCAATGGCAATGAAAAAACCAGAAGAATTTTGCACCAACCACTCTTTCCAGTTACTTCATCTCCACCACCAAATTTAGAAATATCTCCACCTATTGACCCTATTTTCCCCAGCCCAGACCAGTCCTTTTTCCCAGAAGTTCCCACTATGCCAACTTCAGATCAAACACAACAACAATCTCCACCAATTCAAGCCAATTATGGTACTCCAATTTCACTCCAACTTAGAGAAAGAATGAATAGTATGCCTACATCTAAATATCTTTTGTTGGGTGTTTCTTCATTTCAAGGGATATAATTAATTTAAAAAGTAATAATATTCCAATCGGTGGAAGGAAAAATAACATAGTAATGTGCTTATGAGCTAAAACCAAGCGAACTAAATGACTAGACTATGATAGCATGTGCAAATATATGCGAAAAAACTTCACCTACTTAG